TTAAATATCATTTCATTAGAGATATTATTTCTAAAGGCATGATAAAGATTGCAACTCAACATAATCCTTCAGATATGGGTACAAAAGTGATACCTCTAAACAAATTTTTAAACTGTCTTAAATTCCTTTCTATTGGTTCCTTGTGATCTTGATGTTTGTTAGAGTGAATGGAATAATCAATGCTTATGTTCCTGAATGCACTTATGGCCTAAAATCTGGTAGCAAGGTAGAGATTGTTGGGCCACATCCTGGCCCATTTATTTTGCTCCCAGCTTTTGGTTGAACTCGTGGTTGCTAAACACGCTTCTCTTAAATGAGAAGCAACTTCACTTGGATGGATGACACTTGGCTCACCTGTGGCTGTTGGATGCTGTGGCTGTTGATATACTGAGGCTTGAGATATTTTTGGCATTCAATCGATTCATTTCAAGAGACTTCTAGGGTTTTCTTCTCTTTGAGAGAAAACGAGAGGAAGAGATAGTGTTTGATCCTTGATGCTCGTTTTCACTCTAAATCTTTGATTTAGAGTATGGCTAGATCTACATTCGATTGTAATATTATGTGTGAATATTGAGAGGTTGTATTTGATTCCTCTGCTGTAATACTGTGTGTATGTTCGAAGGGGTTCTTGGTGCTTTTTGAGTGAATCGAGGGCTATCATTTTGATGTACTTTGAGAGATAAGTCACATATCTCTTTCTTGAACTCTCTATAACCTTTGTTGCCATTTTGTGGTTAATTTAGTACATTTGAGCATATTGTTGTTTATGGATGTTCAACGGAGAATGTAGGCGTTTGAGGTGGTCATCGAACCTCCGGGACTACGGTCAAAACAAATCCTTGTATTCATTCTTTAATTTTCTGCAGTTTTACTTTCCTGTGGAGGTTATTGTTTATTTCACATACTTATATCGTGTTGTGGTCTGGGCCTTACAGTGGTATCAGAGCNTTTTACTTTACTGTTGAGGTTATTGTTTGTTTTGAATACTTATATCGTGTTGTGGTTTGGGCCTTACATTTATCATATTTTCTTTAGCATATGAATAGTAGTTTTTTTGAATGTTTTTGAAGAAATCAGGGCTGGCAACATTTATGAACATTGGTTAAAATTTATATAAATAAATGAAAATGCCTGTAGAGAAGAAGAGATGCTGAAAATAAACAAATAATTGTAAAGAAAAGATAACACTTATATCAATTTCTACATGATGTCAGAAAATTTTTGCAACATGTTAATGGCTTTTACAATCTCACAACAACATTCTGTCACACATAGGTTAATAAAAATAATACATGAATGAGGTTACATCAACTGTTTTGCAGGTATAGTTTGGCATATTTGATATTTTTCAATGTTTGACACGATTCATCTGATTGAGTTCAACTTGAAGATTATGTGCAAAATAGATAGAAGAAGATACTCCGACATTCCAAGTAACCCAAAAGGCTCTTCAAACCATAGTCCAACAGACCACCAACATCTTTCCTCTACCCATATAACACATTGTCAAATGGTTCTTTGTTTTGGCCTATACCAATATAGAAATAACACACGAGGAAATTGTGAATAGATTAGAGAAAAAGGAAGAAGAACGGAAAGAAAAATTGTTAATACAGTAGCATATAATACTATGATAAATGAGTATTTTAGTTAAAAATTTGGGAAGGTGGAACAAAGAGAACAATATATAGCTGTATCAAATAAGTAATTTAAACACATAAAAGAGGAAATCTAAAATATTTATAATAGCTAGCATATAACTCAAATAGATTAATATATGAATGGAAAGAAAATATTCATTGAGAAATAGTTATTGGGTAATAAATTTGTTTTCACACCTGTTGAAGGAAGGGCAATGGTTGCAGCTCTTCACATCGTATGCTTGTTTCTTCATTCTGATCCACTACAGTAATTTAGAAATGTA